AAAGGGTTTTTCCTCAATTAATTCGACGACACCGAATAATAGGCCGACCGGACTTCGGACGCAACTAACTTCCGACAGGTTCTGATCGCCATTCACAGTGGAGCTATCAGCACCTTCACCGACTCCCTTCCAGTGAATGGCGTTCTTGGACTCAAATCACCACCCATTTCAGATGAAGAGCTCGAGTTGCCGAGAGAAACACTAAGAAATTTGATACGTGGCATTCTTTTCATATTCTTTCAACGTTGTGAAATTGACGAAATGGGACAATAACCACGGCTACTTCCCATTTAGCACAATTTTAAATTTCACTCGATTCTTTCACCTTTCAGTACACAAATCAAGATGTTTTTAATATAACGGAATATAATTTTGCAGTAAGGATTTCCTTAAAGTATGCCATCTTATGATCAATAATTATTCAAATCGAACAAAAACAGTTCAAGCCCTAGGTACCGAATATTTGGACCCCAGTATCTAAAGTTGACTTTTGATCGAAAATATCGGTCAATGTCTGAGATACCTAATTGAAATTCAGGGATAGTACGTCTCTAGCAATGGTATGTAACTAATATCAGGATTTTCGAACATACGGCTGACCTTACTTTATATCATTGGTTTTACATTTTAAAGTATTTCCCTGGCTTAGTATTTCTTGGGAGTTGTAAGAGTATAAAATGTTCGGTTGCCCCTTACTTTTTATATTCTCGCAACAGAGTTGCTAATTAGAGTATTATAGTTTTGTTCACATAACGGTTGTTTGTAAGTCCTAAAACTAAAAGAGTCAGATATAGGGTTATGTATTCCAAAGTGATCAGGGTGACGAGTAGAGTTGAAATCCATATGTCTGTCTGTTCGTCCGTCCGTCTGTCCGTCCGTCCTCCCGAGCAAGCTGTAACTTGAGTAATAATTGAGATATGCAGGGGTGTTGTAGAATCCAAGACAGAATTGCTTAGCTGTCAGAATTGCAAACCAATTCTGATTTTTAATGGTGTCACAGAATCTGATTCGATTTTTGTCTTTTCGAACATACGCGAAACCAACATTCGAATCAGCTGTTTACTAATGTGACAAAACTTGCAAATGAACACATCCTATTAAAGTTTTTAATGAGTTCCGAATTAAAGAAAGATTTAAAGAGATAAAATTTATTGAATTAATAAAGACGCATTTGTCATATGGAATTGGGGCAAAATTTATTATCTTTGGCATTAAATTATCTTTTATTTAAACTAACAAAACTAAAAAAATTTAATTTGAACATATATTTAAAGTAAAATTTTTTCACAATAAAATCAGTTTTTTTTTCAATTTTAAATTTTATTATAATTTTACACTTTTTTCATAGTTTAATTTGAACATAAGTTATTAAATAATATGAATCTCTTTGAATTCTGACAATTGCTTCCCAAAGGCAAAATGTAAAAGATTTCGTATCAAAAAAATGTGCGAATGATGTTTAAATATATAACTATAAACCCTAGAAATTTCGCTTTAATCAATTATTTATTTCCCTCCCAAAAAAGCTTCAACAAAATCGATTTTTTAAGCCTCTAAAGCAGGCTGCCCTCTTAAACATCCGCATTATCTTTTCCAAAACTTAATAATTAGGACATTTCTTCTTTTATTCTTATGTTTTCTCCTATAGAAATAAAAGTAAATTAATTCGTAACAATAAAATAACTTCATTTCTTAACTTACATTTCTAATCTGTGTGCGACTATCTTCATGATTTGTTTCTGACAGCAAAACCGATAAAATTGGTTTCCGTGCCACCCAAAACCGATTCAAATTCTGTTTCGAATATCAAACCAATAATGTCTGAATTCATGACACCTACTGCTTTTTTTGATCGGTTTCCATTCTGATTCCGACAACTATCAGATTCCACAACACCCCTGAACATGATGAAACTTCGTACACGTATTTGTTGGCTCCATAAGATCGGCCCACTGCCACGCCTACAAAATGGCGAAAACCGAAAACCTATAAAGTGTCATAACTTAGCCATAAATAAAGATATTAAAGTGAAATTTGGCACAAAGGATCGCATTAGGGAGTGGCATATTTGGACGTAATTTKTTTGGAAAAGTGGGCGTGGCCCCGCCCCCTACTAAGTTTTTTGTAMATATCTCGGAAACTACCATAGCTATTTCAACCAAACTCTATAGAGTCGTTTCCTTCAGGCATTTCCATATACAGTTCAAAAATGGAAAACGGATAATAACCACGCCCACCTCCCATACAAAGATTATGTTGAAAATCACTAAAAGTGCATTAACTGGTATGTAACATTTTCTTAACACCCTGATGTACGAAATATGAGTGAAATCGGTTCACAACAACGCCTTCTTCCAATATAACGCTATTTTGAATTCCATCTGATGAATTCTCTGTATAATATATACATTAGGTGCCAATGATGATAGCGGAATAAAACTTTACACAAATACGGTATTTGAGCTGAGGTATCCCTTGTGAAAAATTGTCGTGATCGGACTATAACCTTTCAATACAATTAAAATAAATGAAAATACAATTCAATATTCAAAGTACACAAATTGATCTAATCTAATTAATTTTACAGCAAAATAAAAAATATGTAAATGACGGATAATGAAATCTCGATTATCACTTTATCATGCGAGAGTATAAAATGTTCGGTGATACCCGAAATTAGCTCTTCCTTACTTGTTCTTTTAATTTTTCCACCACTCAAAAGCGCAAAAGTGTATGAGTCATGCCCCAGTTTATTGAGATATAGAGTTTAACTTTTCTCCAATTGTGGTTGTTTTCTTGGGTTGTTGTTGAAGTGTTCGCATTGTAAAATGAAATTCGGCATTAACAATCGTTGACGTTTGAGTGCGAAGCAGTACACGTTTGAGAGTTTTGACATTGAAAATCATTACTATTATTCATTATGTATTATAATTAACGTTCATTTAGTGTTATGTTAGATTACGTTCTTGAATATTTTATTTAAACTTATTTGCGACGTAAGCGTGAGTTGTTTTCAATGGAGATTTAGAATAAAATTTTGATTGTTAAGTAATATTTATTTCATTTAGAATATAAAATCAGAAGCAACTAAAAAATACTGCAATAAGAAACGTTGTCACGGTATATGTATGTATAATTTAAATCGCTAGAACGTAACATAATCAAATCTACATACAAAATGCTTTTTAAAACAGGTGTGAGTAAAAATTAAGCCGCTATAAATTATACAGCATATGCATCTAGTGTTCAAAAGTGGAGCACATTATCTGCATATGCACCAAATGTATATATGTACATAGTATGTATGCACATGAATAAATAAATAATAAACGCACAAGTGGAGTAGTTTGATAGTAGAACAAAAAAGGAAAGTAAGTGTAGAGATAAATAATTGTGTATAAAAGCATTTTCACAAACCTTTACATTTGTATAGAATTGTGCATATGCTCATCCGCCAAGCTAAATTATCCAACATATGGATGGGCACACGTTTTAAATAAATACTTTGTTTGCAAACCATTTGTATAGTACACTTCTTTTTCGGTTTGAGTTTCATATGGCTATCAAGTGAACATACTGGGTAGTTGATTCTATATATGTATATATGTATGTACATATTTGTAGAAATTTTATATCGGTCACATTAAAAAAGCTAATATTTGTGTTGAGAAATTAAGTGCTAAGAAAGCTAAGCTAGTGTGAGATGAGCCAATCTCTTGGCACTTGAACATTTGGTTATTGCATATTTAAATATTTTATTGAAAATCCATTAAGCTTAAAGTTTTTGTTAAAAATATGTTTTGTTCAAAGTGAAATGTTTAAGCAAAATATAAGTAAATAGGTAAATTTATTTGTTTTAAATTATCAATTGTTGTTATAAATGATGTAACAGAGCTATTTTATGCTTTTATTTGTAAAATAACGTCAGGTTTGTTAATGCTTTGAGTAATATTACATTTTACGTATTAGTGGCATTACCTCTACCTCATCTCCCTATCTTTCATTCTACTGTCAAATCTACTGTCGTCCTACTGTCGTTGGCAAATATAGGATAAAATTGAAGTTAGCGAGAACCTACAACTGTCGGCCTGCCGTCGTGTAGTCGTGCAGCTGTCAAAATAGGTCCGTCGATAAGAACGTGTATATTTTAATATTTGACAGATATCGTTTGCAGTATGTCGCCAGCATTGTATTCCACACATGATGCAGCCAACAGGCAGTGAATTCACATCTATTTCCTTCTCATTCCCTTTCTCGCTAATTATTAGCAGTTTAAGTATGGGAAAAATGGCAACAATTGACCAAAGACGACTATTTTGTTTCTAATTCTAATTTCACTAACCGTTTGTGTACAACATATAGTGCTACATATGTAGTTTTGTTGTTTGTGTAATTAGTGTCCTTTGCATCGCGTGCTTGCTCGCATGTTTCGAATATTTTCACACACCACTTGTCAATGCCACCAAAGTCACGTTTTTCCTAGGAAAAAATAAAACTTCAATCAAATATGACGAGCGTTTTATTTTATTAGTAAGTGTGCAACAGGCTGGTTATAATATAAACAATTTGATGGAAATACCGTACGTGCTTTCCATTCAATTTATCCAATTTTCTATGAAATGTGTCATCACATGTGTGTGGCGGCTGTGAAGTTACAAAGTGTAAGGTAGAAAGTACATTTAAAGGACATACATATTTTCTTGTGCCCGCATATGTCCGCCGTAGGTGCACAATGTTTATAATACCTGTAATACTTGACTGCCAGCGAATAGTATCACCAATTTGAAGACCTGATTAGCTGCTGCGCACATGCACTCTTTATAATGCGCTTGCGAAATTTCTTTTGATTTTTGCACGCACGTTCCACTATGAAATTTGCACCGAACCTAATATCTATTGCATACCATCCTTCAGCGCATCTCATAACATAGTTGCGCTTGATTCTATAGCTACATATTGTTCTATTTATTAATGCTCTTTATTACCATTCTATCTTGCAGGTATTTAATTTCCATTGTGTTGAGCGTATTAGAAGCACACAATTAGCACTGCCGCCTAACAATTAGCAGACGTGAGCGTGTTTAAGCCTGGAACACAGTTCCAGACCACCTTCATAGCACAGGGCGTGTGCCCATGCCATTTAGTTAGTCTTGCTCGTGGCGTACGTACGCGAATAAGTTTGCTGTGTTCGTTTTTAGTGTATGATGTTAACCGGAAAATATGTGTCAATCCGCAAACAATAATAGCTGCAGTAAACAGCAGTGCCGGCAAAGCCTTTAACGCCCACCGACTCATTGTGTGTATATAAGCTGAATTTGAAGTATAATAATTAACTAACTACATGTTACAATTAACGGCGCATACAAACATATATACCTAAGTGTACGAAATTTTGTGCGTTAGCAATTGAAAGTATCGCTGCAGTCATACCATACAACAAGAAAACGTATATATAGATGACTATATACTAATAACAATATAATTATAATTGTTACAATGCAAGAGCTGCAACAGAAATCTACAACCAAAAGCGTGTTCGCCATTAAAACACTAATTAGCTGCAGCACGTTATGCCTTCTACTACTACTGCCACATGCCGTACACGCTTGGATGCCCGATGTGCGCCCAGATTTGCAACCTAGTAAGTGTGATGGTGCAGTTGATAATCATTTCCGTTCTTTAAACTTAATTTTAAATACACATAATATGTATAATTATATTCATTTTATAATTGGCATTTTGTATATTATTCTTATCTCCTAATGCTACCGCTACTGCAGAGCAAGATAAAATCATTGCCAAGTTCCTGGGCAACAGCACGGATTATTTTAAAATTTTGGCCTACGATGATGTCACCATACTGGTGGGTGCTAAGTAAGTTCTCAAGCTGCACAGTCCTTATATTAACTTATTTTGTCGCCGACAATTACTTACCACACATTTCTTTGTGTTTTGGTTCTCTTCATTCCCACCTATCTATAGAGACATGATGTACAACATCAGCATGGATGGTTTACATGAACTCAGTCGCCTGGAATGGTTCTCATCCGATGCCGATCGCGAATTGTGCGCACTAAAGGGTAAATGTGAAACTGATTGCCACAACTACATACGCGTATTTGCACGCCTCGATGGTGGGCAAATCTTGTTGTGTGGCACCAATTCTTATAAACCGCGCTGTCGCCATTATGCGCCCGCCACAAGTGAACTGAGCGCAGCCGGTGGTTCCGGCCAACGGTATGAGATTGTACGCGACGTGGAAGCGCAAGGTCTTTGCCCATATAGTCCGGCACATAACAGCACCTATGCCTATGCGGACGGTCAACTTTATAGTGCCACCGTTGCTGACTTCTCGGGTAGTGATCCATTGATATATCGCGAAAATTTACGCACCGAACAGTACGACTTGAAACAGTTAAATCAACCAGACTTTGTGGGTGCTGTGGAGCGTGATCGTTATGTTATGTTCTTCTTTCGTGAAATTTCAATGGAGTATATGAATTTCGGCAAGGTGAGTGTGTGATCTTTGCGTGGTATGTAGGGGTCAATAGCAGTGGGAGTGTAATTAATTTATAAACATAATTTTTCAAGTGTTTAGATTCGAGGAAAAAGATTATATTGACTTAAATTTTTGAAACTTCAAGAAAATGTGACATTGAAATAATTATAATAATAAGTTGGTTCATTGTAATAAGTTGATTCCCTTGTATTAGTTTATTATTTTAATATAAAATATTAAATTTAATTTCTTATCTCTTTTTCAGACAATTTACTCAAGAGTCGCTCGCGTATGCAAGAACGATCGTGGGGGTCCATATTCACTCTCCAAAAGTTGGACTTCATTTTTGAAAGCGCGACTAAATTGCTCTGTACCTGGCGAATTTCCTTTCTACTTCGATGAAATTCGTAAGTCTTAAAATCAATTTGTTATTTAATATAAAATATCTTTTATATTTTTTCCCACAGAGTCAATCACACCCATTGTCGAAAGTGGGTCAAATTCACTCATCTATGCCGTCTTCACAACCTCTGTGAACGCCATACCCGGTTCAGCGGTGTGTGCGTTCAATGTAAATGATATTATGGACGCTTTTGAGGGCAGTTTTAAATCGCAAAAAGATAGTCAATCACAATGGCTACCCATACAGGATGAACAAGTGCCGGAATCACGTCCAGGTAAGTGTGTCGAAGATTCGCGAATGCTATCGAGCATTGCGGTGAATTTCGCCAAAACCCATCCATTAATGGAGACTGCTGTGCCCGCGGTTTACGGACGCCCACTACTCACGAAAGTAAATTTACACCATCGACTTACCACAATCGCTATTGATGCACAACTCATGGCATTAAATGGTGAATACTATGATGTTATCTACTCCGGCACAGATGATGGCAGAATAACAAAATTTATTAACATACCTACACCCATTCAGGCTAGCGGTTCCACAGGTGTGGGCAAATTAAAAACAGTTCTTATCTCTGAGATGCAAGTACTGCCTTTGGGTGTACCGGTGCGTGAACTGGTCGTTTCCTCGAAAACCAATCGTTTATTAGTCGTTAGTGATGGCAGTTTGGTTACAGTGCCTTTGCATCATTGTGGACATATTGTAGACTGTTTGGGTTGTCTCAGTCTTCAAGATCCAAATTGCGCTTGGGATCAGCAGAATCATGAGTGCAAAAGTATTACACCCAACAACATCAAATTTGGCACAAAAGCCTTCCTTCAGAGCTTGAATACTACCAAAAAAGCAGCAGCATCGCTTTGTCCAAAGTACACACGTGGCACACTCATGGCTGACGGCCCAATTGTTAGTAGCGGTATTGTGGCAAGTCCGGGCATTGACTTGGTTACAGCACAACAACAACCACAAGTTGATGAAGAATTGCACAGCAAAAAGTTTCACTACACAAAAGTGAGTGCGGTTAAGAGCGTTCCAGTTGGCGCAAGTAAAGCCTCAGCGGAGAGTGGCGTTTCTGCAGTCGACGAAGTACCCTCTGATAAAGTAACTGATTTGGATGCAAGCACAGGCGCTGGCAATGATTACTTGCTGAACAGTTTTAGCGATGGAAATAAAATAACATTACAATCGGTGGATCCCAATGAGCTCATGAACACTCTGAGTGGTGAGTTGGGAAAAATCGAGTTCGATTAAGTGATAAAATTAATTTTGAAACGAAAATATTAATTTTACAGGTCCATTTCTTTCACAAGATGACAGAAAAGACAGACAATTAAAGGTCGCCGGCAAGAGCTTATGTTGGGCCCTCTCGTTTATCGCTTTCGTTGTGGGCGTTATTGTTGGATATTATACCTCAAAACGGTTGTGTAAAGCAACGTCACTACATGCAAATCACCGTAATCAATTCACCTCGAATTCGTAAGTTTCATTAATACCAAATCATATTTTTTCGAAATCTTTTTCATTTAATTCTTATTACTCGCCACACAGTCAATTCACCGTAAAGCATCATAATAATGGCAAAGATGTCAATCTGCTAATGAATCCGAACCATTTTTCCAGTCTTAAAAAACCCAATCTCGATTTAGAGAAGGATCGCAGCCATGAATGCAAGAACTCTACAGAAAATCTTGAAAAGGAAATACCCTGCAAGACGTCTACTTTAACGAAGGTTAAACGCACATATATATAATCTATGGCGTATTTGCAACCCATTGCGAAGCATTGAGTTGCGTTTAGAAAACTAGTTGAATTTTTTTAGAATAGTTATATATATATTTTTTTTTGTTGGAAAAGATTTTGTTTAAGATTTTTCTTGTATGGAAATAGTGTGAAATGCGCGGTGTGTTGTATGACTGTTGCAAATTAGTCTAGACAAAATTACATTTTACGAAAGACGTTTGCATTGGAGGTATAAGTGATTTGTATAATGTAAACTTAAACCGTCTAAACGCATGCATCTAAAGGCTATGAACAGTTATGCATTAAGTGTGCAAATGCAAACTCCTGAACGAGCTCAGTTAAGCTGTAAACAAATTGTGTCTTAATTAGAAGTGTATGGCAACCTTTCAACGACGCGCACTTGCCTTGCTGATTTGCACACATGCGCACGCCATGTGCATAGCCTATGTCATTGCGAGTCTTAATTTTTATGTAATTTTAATATTAAGTAAATGTAGTTTTTAAGTTTATTGATTAATGTGAGTCTAATTACATATTACGAGAAAACTGAGGTTAAAGTGAGTTTTTGCTTTTTCTTTACAATAACACATTACAATTAAGTACAAATATAATTACAAGTCCGTGTGCGGGTGTGAAGACAGACATGTGTTTAGTGTTGCGGATGACAAACGCAAAAGTTGGGTGATTTTATTTGTCTATACAAAAAACAAGAAAGCGTATACTCATAATACATGCCACCAACTTTCAACTCTGAACACTTTATTTGAACCCGCAAGCACATGTATCTCAACACTTGTATCGTAAACATATCGAATATCTTTACAATTTATACAGCTCTAATGAGACTTTTGCGAACGTTTTGGTTTAACGCAAATAAAATGGCTACAACATGATAGTGTTTGTAGTTTGAGGCAATTTGGCTTCCTTTTGGCTATGAAGTTGATTTTCGTCTCATCACTAACACTACGAATTTCAACTTAATACATACAATAACACCGCACAATATGCGAACAATTGCTATAAAGCATAATATTAGATAATAGTAATAACTCAATAATATTACAAAGGCAAACGAGTATTATAATTAGACTGAACGCTTGACGAACAAAAGCAACACATGGTCAAATAATACATTTATATTTAGTTGGCAGACTCTGGTCTATACTATGGCAAAAAGCAACCCGCGAAAACATATGAGAATTATGTGACTAGCCCGTTTTTTTTTTTTGTATTGCAATCATGCTCTTGGCTAATTTTGCGCATCATCATCATGGTGAACATCGCCACTAACATCTTCAACGCTTTCACGCGCGTTGAATTGCGCTTGATATTCATGGATGTAAACAGCGACTTTTGTCAGCACTCATTTGCTTGAGTACCCTCCAATTGTACTTCTACCACTTTCACGCAGCATTTTTCCTTACTTTTATTTTTTTTTTTGTCTACATATGCACATTTCCAGCTATTTGTCTGTCGTGCGTGTGAGTCCATTTGATGCATAAACACTTGAGACAATTGTATAATTGTATTCTATTAAATGGCTAGTAATTTATTCAAGGTCATTACACTGCATAAAACTCCCATAAATAGTAAACGTAATGAATGAAAGTAGTCTATTATCTATTCTTTGTTGAATAAATTGTTTGCGAATCAAATTAAAACGTAAATTTTCTGCACTGATCATAAATTAAAAAAAATAAACAACACATTTCATTTTTATAACAAACAAATAGTCGCTCATTCATCAATACTTCATAGTTTGCTTTTTAGTTTAAATAACTCTGAATTTTCACCATCATTCATACATTAACTAATAGCTAGCGAGTATTAATATATTACAAACAAAATCGTAAAAGAAGCTCAATTAGTTAGGAATTGAATTGGTATATATAATATAAATAACTAAAATAAAAAAGGGTGTATAAATTGGTAACAAAAGATTTAGGAACAAAATTTGTATATAGTATATATTAAGATGAAATTACAAATATCATTGGAAAATGCTGCCTTCGAAATTTAATGCCAATTGACAATAGAAACGATATGTGCAAATAAAATTTTTAAAACAAAATCATCACATTAAATGAAAAATATTTGTAGCTCGTCAAAATACATCATAAATTGACGAAATTTGTCAGATAAAGCTTTTGCAACACCCAGCATAAATTAAGTACATACAAATTGAAGAGATTTCAAAATGTGAAGCCTTAAAACCTATGATAAATATTAAATGTATGCATATATATTTTCTTGCATAGACGTACTAGTTAGAAAGTTAGTCCGTCCGATTAAGGAATATTTTTAGTAATAAATATGTATGTATCTATGATGAATATTTACAATATATTTTATACAGCTATACATAAATAATGTATTAGGTTAGTTTGTTAGTGATTCTAGAAGTATGTAAGCTTAAGAATACATTCGTAGATATATTTCGCTAATGGAAATACTATATATATATTTCTTTTTATAGTATAATTATTTGCAATTATAAAACATTGTTATATCAAACACGCACATAAATTTGACGCGTCGATTTATTGTTTTATACTCGAATTTAGATTAGTCTATCTTTTTTAAACAAAACAAAAAAAAGTTGTGATAGATTTAAAAAAAAAAATTGTTTTTCAACATACAAATTATATTCAATCGATTGTACGATTTTGATTGGTTTTAAAACGAAAACAATTTATCGGCGGGGTCTTCCTAATGGTTTTCAGGCCAAAACAAGCTTAAAACAATTTCAATATGCTCGTTGCTGGAAGATAAAATTTGTATCCGTCTTTTTATTTCAATAAATAGAGTGCTTTTCAATAAATACATTTTGTTTAATTTTATATTTAGTCAATCAAAGGATAATATGCAAGCAGTTTACTTCCAAAATATTAATCAGGGGTGTTGTGGAATCCAGGACAGAATTGTAAACCAATTCTGATTTTCAATGGTGTCACAGAATCTGATTGGATTTTCGTCTTTTCGAACATACGCAAAACCAATATTCGAACCAGCTGTTTACTGAAGTGAAAAAACTTCCAAATTAATACATTTGGAAGCAGTCCTATTAAAGTTTTTAATAAGTTCCGAATTAAAGGAAGATTTGCAGAGATAACATTTATCGAATGAATAAATGAATCTAATATCTTTAAATATTCGGATTTTTTTTCTAAAAACTCAATAGTAATAAATACGAAATTTCTTAACTTACATTTAAAATCTGTGAACGGCTATCTTCTTGCTTTGTTTCTGATAGCAAAACCGATAAATTGGTTACTGTGACACCCAAACCGATACAAATTCTGTTTCGAATATCAAACCAATAATATCTGAATTCATGACACCTACTACTTTTTTTGATCGGTTTCAATTCTGATTCCGACAACTATCAGATTCCACAACACCCCTGGATATCTTCTATTTTCCATTGTAGCTTCTTCTTCTTCTTAATTGGCGTAGACACCGCTTACGCGATTATAGCCGAGTTAAAAACAGTGCGCCAGTCATTTCTTCTTTTCGCGCCAATTGGATACTCCAAGCATAGCCAGGCCCTTCTCCACCAGGTCTAGTGTTGACGCCGATGATATCAATATCATCGACATACGCCAGCAGCTGTACACTCTTATAGAAGATTGTACCTTCTCTATTTAGTTCTGCAGCTCGAATTATTTTCTCCAGAAGTGGGTTGAAGAAGTCGCCTTGTCTGAAACCTTGTTTGATATCGAACGGCTCGGAGAGGTCCTTCCCGATTCTGACGGAGCTTTTAGTGTTGCTCAACGTCAGTTTCCACAGACGTATTATTTTTTCGGGGATACCAAATTCAGGCATCGCGGCATAAAGGCAGCTTCTTTTCGTGCTGTCGGAACCAGCTTTGAAATCGACGAAGAGGTGGTGTGTGTCGATTCTCCTTTCATGGGTCTTTTCCAAAATTTGGCACATGGCGAATATCTAGTCGGTTGTGGATTTTAAAGCCACACTGATAAGGTTCAATTAGTTTGTTGACGGTGATCTTTAAACTTTCACAGAATACTCTCGATAGAACCTTATACGCGATGTTGAGGAGGCTAATCCCACCGTTGTTGGCGCAGATTGTGGATCCTTTTTTAAGGATTGGGCATAGCACACTTAAATTCCAATCGTTGGGCATGCTTTCGTCCGACCATATTTTACAGAGAAGCTGATGCATGCTCCTTATCAGTTCTTCGCCGCCGTGTTTGAATAGCTCTGCCGGCAATCCATTGGTCGGCCAGCTTATCAAGCTCTTCATACTCACGCATTTCGGCCTCTTTCTTTTTCTGTCTGAAAATGTGTCTCGCTTCCCTCTTCAACTCTTGGTATCTATCCCATCGCGCACGTGTTGTGATCGATCGTAACGTTGCGAGGAAGGCAACCTGTTTTCTCTCCGCTGCGACACGGCACTCATCGTCATACCAGCTGTTCTTTTGCACTTTCCGAAAATGAATGGTTTCGTTTGCAGCTGTACGTAAGGAGTTTGAAATGCCGTCCCACAGTTCCCTTATAACGAGTTGTTGACGAGTGCTCTCAGAGAGTAGGAGTGCAAGCCGAGTAGAAAATCGCCCGGCAGTCTGATGCGATTGCAGCTTCTCGACGTCGTACCTTCCTTGTTCTTGTGCGTTTTTGCTGCACAGAGGCGGGTGCGAATCTTGGCTGCAACAAGATAGTTTTCCGAGTCGATGTTAGGACCTCGGAGCGCACGCATGTCTAAAACACTGGGGACGGTTGGTGTTTTTTTCGATCCGGAGACAGCCAGGTAGCTTGATGAATCTTCTTATGCTAGAATCTAGTACTACAGATAACCATATTTCGGGCCCCGGCGAAGTCGATCAGCCTCAACCCATTTGGCGATGTTTCCTCGTGGAGGCTGAATTTACCGACCGTAGTTCCAAAGATACCTTCTTTGCCCATCCTGGCGTTAAAGTCGCCAAACACGATTTTGACATCGTGGCGGGAGCAGCTCTCATAAGTGCGCTCCAAGCACTCATAAAAGGCATCTTTGGTCACATCGTCATTCTCTTCAGTCGGTGCGTGGCGCAAATCAGTGATATGTTGAAGAACCTCGCTTTGATGCGGATTTTGGCTAGATGTTAATTCAACGGAGAGAATGATAGTACTCGGCGACGGAGTCTCTCTCCCACCACGAACCCTAAACCAAACTTGCGCTTCTTTATATGGCCACTTTAGTAAATGCCACAAGAGCCTACTCGTCTGTGTCCTTGTCCCGTCCATCGCATTTCTTGAACGGCAGTGATGTCAGCCTTCACTCTAACGAGGACATCAACCAGCTGTGCAGTGGCACCTTCCCAATTATGGGACCGAACGTTCCAGGTGCATGCCCTCCATTCGTAGTCCCTATTTTGTTTACCATGGTCGTCAAAAAGGGGGTCTCTCATCCGAGGTTGTTTGTTAATTTTCATTGGGTGTGACTTTTTAAGTGGCAGGTCCCACACCCAGCACACAACCCTATGAAGGGGATGTTCTTAGGCTACCCAGAGGATACTTGGTCAAAGACCGGAAGTCGTGAGCTGCTGGAGCCATATGTGAAAGAATCGTTTCTGGCCACTCCCAATTGAATGGCGATCAGAGAACTTTCCTCACTCGTGTGAGCTTCTACACATGACTCCATCCTTTTCAATTGTAGTGCTGTTATTAAACTGTAAATCCTATAATATCGTTATTTTTATTCTTTCAACCCAATACCCAAAGTTCATATGAGATTCTATTGTTCAAGAAAGTGATAAAATTATGATGATAACTAAGAAGACACCTTACGCAGTGAGACTAAGAGACTCAGATTTTTTAATAACATTAGCTTTGCATCTTAAAGGGTTATGTACACTTATTTTCTGAAAAAATCGTTTTTTTTTTAGATTATTTTTTGCAAAGACGGTATTTTTTTAATAATTAATCACTTTTGATATTTTATTTATGTTTAAAGCTGTTAAATTTAATTTTACACTGAAAAATGTGTTGCAGCTCCAGCTGTTGTGCCGATACACATTTTTTCTTACATGCTTTGCGGTGAGCATGATAAGTAGATGATGGTTCATCTGCAATCAAATAAAAGAACGCCGTACTTGAATGAGGGATTTGACGAAATAAACACATTCACGCAAATGGTGGTGATTTTACTAAAAACATTAATTTTGGGGGTCTAAAAATTCAGTTTCAAATAAAAACTTCTTCGTTCAAGTATAAGATATTGTAGTTTTCAATTAGGCAGTCAATAATTAGATCATGAGAAACCTTGTTCACTCAACGTTAGATTCCTCTCCTAAATTACAAGGACTCACATAGCCCAAGCATATTGATAAAGTCCAATACTCTGCTGGGTGCTAGTGAGGCGATGCAATCCCTATTCGGAAACATGGATCCTAGGGCCTTAATCTTGCGTCCACAGAGTGCTTTGCAGTCGATTTGCAGGTGTTCTGGTATGTCAGGCTCCCTGTCGCAGAACAAAAGCCCATGCTGCATAAATTTTTATTCAGCTTTTAGTGGCCGGTGCAAAATGTGACCAGTAGCCTGAGTATATCCCTAGGGAGGTTTGCAATTAAATCAGCTGAGATTGTACCCTCATTAGCAACTTAGCATGTCGCATGCCATGCAGTTGTTGCCAACGACTTTCTTAGCCTACTTCTTCCTTGCGGAGCAGCTCCTTTATGGTATAGGGACCCACTCCAATGAAGGGTTCAGGTCCTATCATGTTAGTGGAAGCTGTGGAGCGGGCAGGCTCGTTAGCCAGTTCGTTATCGGCTATACCTCTGTGATCGGGCACCCAGATTAGGTGCACCTGGTTACGTTCCACTAGGGCAGATTATTGACTATGGCTAAGTATCGTTATACGCTTATTGTGATAGTTGCGTTGGGAGATTATATGCAACGACAAATGGCTTAGTACGTGCCCTTCGATCCTTGCGGCGATTCCTTCCGACATTTTCGAGCTTTCAGTGTACCACTTGATCGTACTATTTGTCAGCAGCCGCTCAAGATCGTTTCACTCATTCTTGCTGCCAAGGGTAACCTTGAACTTCTTTGTGAAGTTAGCCTTTTTGGTAATGCTGTCCCTCGGAAGAAGAGCCAATGATATAGAGCCACTTATCTTTCATCCTATGGGACGAGATTACCTTACCTTTGCCACACCTCTATGTGTGCGGTGTGAGTTAAAGCATGACTTCAAGTGCTGCCGTCGGACAAGTGCGCATTGCACCCGACATGCAGACACAACCGAAGTCTGCGAAGCTTTTGTGGCCCTGGCCTGATCATCGGTCAGAAAATCATGGTATACAACCACCTAAAAATCTTTTTCTTACAACCCCAGGATTTTTCCGCCATCCGATTGTACACCATTAGTGCTTTTGTTAACCAAGGTCAATTCAACATGCTGCTTCCACAGCAAAGTTGAACCCAACGTGAGACCAAGATATTTGACCACGTTGATCATCTCTATCTCTTTGCCACAAGTGTAAGGGTCCTGGGACCGGGTAGTGACCTTATCGTGAACGGGACAAGGGTTGATGTTCAACTCAACCTCAATACACCACCCTTTTGCCAGGTTTAAACCTTCGAAGGGGCAAAGTATCACTTCCCCTCTCTCTAGCGAACTCTCTATCTCCGAAGTTAACTGATACAGAGCAGTATTGGTCGATCTGCCTGCTCTACATGCATGCTGAGCAGCATGCCGGGGTGCAATTTTCAGCGCCTTCGACCTTATTACATGATCTACGAACTTTTCCACACTTTTTAGTAAGAAAGAAATAGGACTAATTGGCCTGAATGATTTAGCAAGTGAATAGTCTTTCTTTCCTT